TCTGTGAAACTATATTAGGATATTATGAATGAATTTGGTTTATTTAGTAGCATTCCGTAGTGTGACTGATTTTACTAATTGCATTAGTACTGTACAAAGTTAGAGGTGCATTATTTGACAGATTCCCCCGCTCCTTATTATGGGCCTCCAATGGGGCAACCTGAGGTCAACCCATCCCCACCCCCCTCCCCATCTCATACTTCTGAGCAGTACCCTGCCTAGCTCACAAACTAGAATCAGTGCATCCACTTTGACAATGGTAATTGACCCACATGGTGACAAGATATCGTTGACATGATGTGTAAATGAGCAATAGAAAACTGATCACACAAATGGCACCATTCTGATTTTTAATTTTTTTTTGTATAGACGCATCATACTGACCTGGCAAAATGCAGCCCTGTCATTTAATTAAGACATTTGGAATGATACAAATAATGATAAGAATGATAAGAATGTATGTCACCCATACCTTAAATCCGCCAGTGGTGTCTGTTACAAGCAGAGTACAAGAAGTTTCACTGTTAAACAATTTTAGGAATAGCTCTATCATAATATTGTAATCCATCCATCCATCCTTATTGACATTTCTGATTATTTTTCTCTCCAAAGTTTTTGAAATCTTGCGCTTTCGGCCACACCCAGGTTTGTTAGAGTAGTCCAAGTGTTCAAGTGCCACTCGCCCTGTTAAACAGAATTCCTTATGTAAAGTTCAATGCTGATTGATTACTTAGGTGTGGTGTGAAGGTTAATTGAATGTTCAGGTGCGGTTTTAAAGCTAATTGAATGGTCAGGTTTGTCTTCAAATAGAAAAAAATCACAGGGGGCTAATAATTTTGGCCTTGTCATTTTCAGTTCTTGTTAAAATTCAGCACATCAACAGAATATCTAAATCAAACTTTGTGGAGATTTTGTCTGTTCTTTCGGAAGCAATGCAAATATTAACAGTGTTTGTTATGGTAATTTCCATGGAAATATTAAGTGTTTTGTGTGATTTCATTGGGGAGGGGGGTAATAATTCTGACTAACTAGTTAAATGTTGTTTTTGACTTAATTGTGTGTTTTTAGGGGAAGAAGAAACAAAAAACAAGACGCGATAACATTCGGATCTAATAAATATTTTAGCTATTCAAACAGTTTCTTTCTTTTATTTTTATATCGGTTACGTGAAAAGGCCACCCTCAAATGTCCTTAGACACGAAGATAGTCTACTTCATTGTTTAGAAAAAAAGAACTCCATACCTTTTGTTTAAAAGATTGTTTAAAATCAATTGCCTACAATCCCATCACAGATTAAGTTTAAAATTTCCACCTCTAGGATTAGTTTTTTTTTGATCGTCCTGAACCACGTAAAGGATATCCTGTATCATGTTGGTGTTTAAAGAAATATTCTACAAAGGTAAGAATCTCATCTCTTAATTGTGCAGGTACAGTTCAATCCGTAGTAATCGCTAATAATGTATTCTAGGTAAATCAACAGCCAGTAACCATTTAAAAATGAAGGTGAAAGCAGCCAGACACAAGGAAGATCTGACTGTGATAACTGGAATTCTATGAACCACCCTGGGCCATGCCCCTTGAGCTGTGCAAAGAGCACCACTTCCCTTTGCATTTAAAGATGAGCATCCCTGAGCATTAAGAGCAAAGTCTACAGAAATTTATTTATGTATAAAAACCACATGGTCCAGGGATAGAAGAAAATGACAATATTAATGATAAAACTGATTTCAAATAATAGTAACAATGTAAAACTACTAAGATGAAATTTCATCTCATCTACCTGGCCTTGATATACACTCACCTAAAGGATTATTAGGAACACCATACTAATACGGTGTTTGACCCCCTTTCGCCTTCAGAACTGCCTTAATTCTACGTGGC